AGAGGAAGAAGCAGTGTTTGAAGAGTCAGTCACAGTTTGGGGTGAAAAGCTGCAGATCCCATCTCATCCCACTAAAGCTAGTGGCTTCCAAGGGTGACAAGAGGGCAGCACAGGGATGGGTGACCCATGACAACCCTCCAGCAGGTTTTGGGGAGCATGAGGAGCATTTGGGGCCATTTCCAGTGGTCTGAGCTGCTTTTCACCATGGCCTCAACTGCTGAGTCTCACCTGAGGGGGTGACACAGGCCAGGGGGTCCTGTCCCACTTGGAGCAGCCCACGGAGAGGGGAAAAAGGCAAATTCCTGCTGAGCCCATGGCTGGAGGCAGGATGCTGAAGAAGGAAAGGGATAAGGTTTAAACTGGCCTGGATTAGCCCATTTTCATCCCCCAGCCTGCTCACCCAGCTGGGCACAGGGAAGCAGCAGCTCTTGGGGTGATGAAGAGCAAACCTGCAGGGAAGAAGAGCTGGATCCCATTTGGAGGAGGTGATGAACAGCAAACCTGCAGGAGGAAGAGCTGGATCCCATCCTGAGGGGGTGATGAACAGCAAACCTGCAGGATGAGCTGGATCCCATCAGGTTCTGTGTGGGTGTTTCCAGTCCTTCCTTTTCCCTCCCTCCCTCACGGCTGCTGCACCCCTGAGCCAGGGCTTTGTGTCAGGAAATGCAGGAACCACACAAAAGGGAAAATGCAGATGATTTTGAAGGGTATTAAAAAGCCAGCAGATGATAGAGGGGATGGAGATTGGACACTGCAGCTGGTGAGGCTGGAAGGGCTCCAGAGCTCAGCCAAGCCCAGGAAGGTGAACCCTGTCCCACTCTCCCCACAGGGTAAGGGACACCAGTGCACCCAGATGGGGACTGGGATGGTGCAGAGCACCCAAAGTGCCTGTCCTGCACATTTCCCCAAATCTCATCTGCTTTTTGACCACCCCAGACGTTTCAGAGCTCAGCGTGTGTTGCTCATCCCTGTCCTGGTCTGGGGCACTCAGAAAACTGAAAAGATCGAATTAATAAAAAAACAGCCATTTTTTGGAACCCTCTCAACCCTGTACAAGAGCAGATACTTGACCCACAGCTGTCAATAAAAGCCCTGAGGTTCCTCTCCCCCTCTTTCACAAACAACAAAAAACTTGGGAGATTCTTTTAGACCTGGCAAAAATCTCTCCAGTCCATGTTTAAAGCCTTCCCACATCCCCAGGAGTTAAATTCCACTCTGGTTAAGGGCAGCAATAAAAGAAAAAAATAGGAAAAGCCTGAAACTGGCCAGGCTGAGGTGCACAAAGCCTTTCCTGAGTCCTCTCTGCCAAAAGCCAAAGTGTGTCACAAGTTTAGCTCCCAGCTGAGGCTGCTGCTTGCAAAGGAAGTGGATGTGGTGCCAAGCAAGGCAGGCAATCTGTGGGATGCAGAACGTGCTGTCTGCACGCTGCCCTGGCACAGCTGCCACCCCAGGGCAGGCACAGGCAATCAAAAGTTTCATCAGAGAAAATGCAGCACAGAAAAATATCTGTGTGTGTGTCCATGGAAAGAGAAAAATATCTGTGTGTGTGTGCATGGAAAGAGAAAAATATCTGTGTGTGTGTGCATGGTTCAGGAGCGGGATCCAGAATAATCCCAGCTTGGGCTGGGGTGGATTGAGCTGGAGGGGCCCAGCACAGCCAGGGGAAGGAAATGGTTCTGGACTGGGTCAAATTTAAGGCAGTGGACTAATTTTTGACCAAATGAAGAAAAATTCAAGAGAAAACTGTGGTTAAGATCATCCTGAAAGGATTTTAGATTTTAGATTTTCTGTGCTGACAGGCACTGAACCCCAAGAGAATACTGAGGCTGTGGAGAAAAATTAAATCTAAATAAAATTAAATTCCAAAATTAAATGATAGAACTGGGATTATAAGTGTGTAGTTTGAATAGAAGTGTGTAATACCACATGGTAGAAAACTTAAAGTTTTAGAATATAGTAATATATATTTTACTATATATAATATATAGTAAAATATAAATAAAGTAATATAATATAAAGCTTGGTAAGATAGAAGTATCCTATAATAGATAGGAGTATAACATATATATATAATATATAATATAATATAATATAATATAATATAAAATATGTAAAAATATATAGTATAATATAGTGTATTGTAATGTAACATAATATAATATAGTGTAATATGATATGATGATATAATATAATATAATGTAATGTAATGTAATATAATGTAACGTAATATAATATAATGTAATATAATGTAATATAATATAATATAATATAATATAATATAATATAATGTAATATAATATAATATAACATAATACAATATAATATAATATAATATAATATAATATAATATAATATAATATTTTTTTATATTTTCATATATATACATATATAAAGTTTGATAAAATAGAAGTTTTAGGCCAGAGACTGGTCCTTCTTCTTTACCTTCTTCATGAGTTTAGGTAGTTTTGTGTAATTAGATAAAAAAAAATGTGCATTGCAGGCCATGAATAATTAGTTACTAAATTAAATGTAAAAAATAATTTAAGCATAATTTCTTAATTAGTTTATCCTTAAAAAGCCTTGTAAAGAGAGAGTTACAGCTCCATTTTTAGTTTGTTAGAATGAAGTAGTGTAGAACTCACAGGCTGGAAGACTGTAATATAGGTAAGAACTAATAAACATCTAAATCCAAACAAGAAATGCCATCTCACACATTTAATCCCTACCTTGACAAAGAAAAAAAAAAAAAAAAAAGAAACCCAAAAAATGTCCAGGCCCAGCCTGACACACAGCCCTGAGCCCCACCACAGCTCTCAGCTCTGCAGGAGGGATTTCCTGCACCTTCCTCAGCACTCCCTGAGCACATCTGCCTCCAGCAGATCCACTCCCCTTGCCCACCTCCAGAGCACAGGCAGGAGCAGCAGCTCCTTCTCCTCCCATAAAATAAATCCTCTTCTCATAAAATCCTCCAGCAGGGACTGCCAGAGAATCCTCAAGAAATGTGAATTGATGGGAGAGAAAGCCCAGGTGCTTTGAAGTATCAGATCAGGGATTCTGGCAGCTCATTCCCCTTTCTCAGCCCTGAGCAGAGCCAAACACACACAACAGGGGAAAATAGTGAGGGAGAGAGAAGAAATGAGAAAATTAAAAGTAATTTCCACTTCTTAAATATCCAGTAAAGGCTGAGTTTCTTCTCAGAACACACATTTACCTTTCTTGCACCCCTAGAGCCACTCAGTGCCACCTTCTCTGCTCCAAGATTAGGAGGGTCCATCTCCTGTGGTTAATTAAGGGGATAATTAAGGGAATCAAAAGCAATGTGGGAGACTGGCAGATCTTCTGTGTGATATTCAGGACATTGGGAAATCACATCAGCAAGGTGATATCTGCATAAATCATTTCTGATCTGGGGGCTCTGACCCAGAAAAGATCAAACAACACAACTCAAACCTGTGCTCAGAGCAAATCCTCACCTGAATTTACAGCATTAAAACTCATTTCTTGATGCAGTGCACAAGCCACAAGCCCAGAGCCTTTCAAATGTCGTTCAGCACTGGATTTTTAGGGGAATTATTGTTTACAAGGCATGGATGGGTTCACAGAGGGCTACCAGCTGTTAACATCTGGAACTGATACACTGAAAGGTTCAGTGCAGCAGCAAGTGAGGAGTTCTGCATCCTGCACAGCACCCCACAAGCACCCAGCTGCTGGCAGAAACCCAGCCCAGCCACAAATCAATCCCCAAGATGGAACACCCAGCTTCAGGGATCTGCTGAGCTGTTCTTGTTGGCTGAAGATATTTACAGGCTGCTCCAGCTGCTTCTGATATGTTCAGAACAAATCTCAATAACTTCATTTTAGATCAAAATGTAAACACTTGCAGCCCAAGGCTGCAGCCTGTCAAACAAAATCAGGGGTTGCTGTGAATAAAAATGTTAATTTTAAAATTATTTGAGCGTCTTTCCATGCTATGATCCACTTATCTCTTGTTTTCTTTCCCTTTTGGAGAGAAAAATATACATTGAGGTATCACAAACCCATCAAGGACTTTCCCCCTCCAACCCCAAACAAACCCAGTCCAGCCTTGGAAGGCATTTAATGAATGATAAATGATCTTTTAAAAGGCAACAAATATATTTTTCCAATAATTTTCTTTCCTCTCCAAACATCAAAGAAGCTTAAATACCATGGAAACAAATATGACAAATCCCCCAGATAGAGGAATTTATCAGTTCCTTTCATACACTGCACAACTGAAGCTCAAAAAGCACAAATTCTCTGCATAAAAACACAAAATAAACCCATGACAGAACTGAGGGGGGAAAAAAAGCCAGATATTGTGATTTGATCTTGTCTGTAAGTCACAAAACTCCCAGGATGTACTTAAAATTTTATTTCTATTTCCAGTACATCACAATAATTATAAAAGAATGGTCTGCAGCCACAATTTAAACCAGTGGCTGACTTTGTGTGGATATTCACACACAGATGATTTATTATAATCACAAAGGCTTTCAACATGAAATACTTGATCCTGAAATCCTTCATCACACAAAAAAGCTCAGGAAATTCTGCTTCATCCAGGCCTGACTCTCATTTTCCCAAACCAGATCAAGAGCTCAGTGTTGCCTCATTTATTCCTCCATCTCAGGAGTGCCTTGTGTGTGTGTGAACATTGCAATAAATGTTCAGAGGGCAGAGAGACCCCAATATTCTGCTGGTTGGGCACTCCCAGCTTTGATTTCACAGCTTCAACCCTCCCAGCTCCCTGGTTTCAGTGCAGAATCTGGATGCAGATTTATTGAATCTGGATCTCTTTTATTTAGAAGGGACTCTCAGACATCCTTGAGTTGCCCTCCCACAGATCCTCTCAATTCCAGGATGCCCAGATTTGGGAGCTCCTGCTGTGCAAACAGCCCCAAAATTGGCTTTGCACTGCTCTGGAAGCCACTTGGGCAGCTGCAAAGCTGAAAGGAATTCTCATTGCAGAATTGCTGTGGGGAAAGGAAAAATCCCCAAAGATGCAGAGCCCCAGCACTCCTGAGGCTGCTCCACTGCAAACCCTGGCACTGCCACCCCCGTACATGACAAACCCCCCAAACAATACTGTCCTTTTCCCTGCTTCCTTGTGAACAATTGGTTCCCTCATCACCTCCAAATCATAAAAATCTGAATGTATTTTACAGTTATAATACAGGATTGAACTGGTATCAAGCCCAGACTAAGAGCAGCTGGTTCTCTTCTGGAAGTGCTGCCTGCTATGCCTGGTCACCTTTGTGTTCTGCTGCCATTGCTGAGTCCCTGTGCTGCTCCTCTGGGTCCCCTGGCAGGATGTTGGTGACTGTCTGCAGGAGGGACTCGATCTGCTCCTCTGTCAGCCTCTCCTCGCTTTCCTCCACCATCTGCAGGTCAAAAAAAGCCCAAAAAAACCCCATTGGCATCATCAAATCCACACTTCCTCCCTCAGGGAGAAGGACTCAGCTCAGCAGGGAAGACTTTGTCAAGACACAGCCTGAGCTCATCACAAAAGCATTTTACAAAGCAGAAAACTCTTGGAATATTTAAAAAAAAAAAAGAGAAAAGAAAGAAAGAACTCCATTGTTCAGCACGACAATTGGCACTGTGTAATGAGATCCTGATTTCCTTACAGCAAGGAAAACATCACCCTGGGAACAGCCTGGCTTCCCCTAAAGCCTCCCTCAACCTCCACATCCTTGTCCTGAGCCAGGCTTTTCCTTTAGCTCAGATGCAGCCTCACTTTCCTGACCTTTCTCCCAAATTTCTGTGTTTTCCTGGGATATCCTGAGAGGAATTCCCTGGACTTTGGCATCTCATGCAGTACCTGCAGGAAATAATCAGCCCATCAAAGAAACCACCTCATCCTACAGCAGCTGTACCCCACTGGAATTTGCTTGGATTGGGAGACTCCTGGATATAAAGACATTTAAAAGCTCTGAGCAACATCAAAAACACTGTCATGACTCAACTCCATGATTCCAGCAGATTAATTAGGGACCTACTCCCACTGTGGAGCTGTGGCAGCTTTTCCATCACTGCTACCAGCAAAACAACTGCCCTAATTTATAGGCAGCTGTTAAAAGGGGAAAAAAGCTTGTCAGAGGACTGGAAAAGCAAGTCAGAAGAACTCTTCAAACACAAATGAAACCAATTAGGATTGTGGGGTTTGAGTTGTCTTTTTTTTACAGCAAGTCCTTGAGAATGGCCTTTGAAGAGGAGTGATTTATAGTAATGATGTTCCAAGTCAATGCAGGTTTAATCAGCTCTAGCTGCAAACTGCCAGCTCTTCAGATGCCTTCTGAAAAGCAGAGTGGGACTTCAACTCATTTTTGTGCAAAGAGGACTCTGAAGAAAAACAATCCGATCATCTTTCATCAGTATCATCCACAGATCTGCACACACACAGAGAATCCACTTCTCAGCAAAAGGCAGACACTGAATTTCCATTTGTTAATGACTTTCTGGGGACTATCCCCATCAAAGGATGAAATCCCTGTGGAGTGGCTTTCCAGGCTCAGCAACTACTGTAGGACTCAGGCTTGAACAGCAGCCCTGGCTCTGCTCCCCAGCAGCTGCTGCTCTGCACTCCCTGTGCTGACACACACTCACATCCTCCTGCCCTGGGAGAGCCCCTGGAGCTGATTCCTGCCAGCAATTTACAGGGAATCATCTCAGCTCACCTTGGAGCATCAGCACCACTCCAGAAGTGTGGAAGTAGAAGATATCCCTGGAACTAAATGTTCTTTCAGGTGTCTCCCAGCCCAAACTATTCTGGGATTGAGATTCCATGATCAAATCCGCTCCACCACTCCTTGCTGCCAGTGCTGCTGACAAATCCCTCCTCTGCAATGAGCTGTGCTGTTCAATCTCACAGAGGATGATCAGCCTGCCTTTCACACTGGATTATGGGGTTATTCATTTCTGGAATTGGGGTTATTAATTTCTGGATATGGGGTTATTCATTTCATTTCTGTTACACTCCATTCCAAGGTGGGGTAGGTGCTGTGGGAGCAGGAGCTGCACAAAGAACCAAACCAGGAGCTTTGGACACCTGGATCACTCCAGGTAGGATCACTGAACCAATGTCTCCCAGATTTGTTACCATCCCTCAGGAAACACCACTTGGCCTTGTTCAGATTTGATTTATTGTATCCATAAAGTCCAACACTCTTCCCATTTTAATTTTATCCAAATCTGTATCTCCTCTCCCTGTTTTTCCCTCCACTTTCTCCTTTAGGTGCTTGCTCTGATGACATCAGAACTCAAACAAAAAGAGGAGACAGAGCTCCCAAATTCCCTTCCGCTGACACATCCAGAAGGAAGTGGGAATTCCTTCAATTCCCGTAGGGATTTCTGATCAGCTCTTACCAACTCCTGACTTTAAGCAGAACATGTGAATTCTAATCCTGTTTTCTTCCCTGCTCCCCAGTGACTCCAGATGAGTAATGCCCCAATGCCAGCATGAGCAAGCCCTGGGATGTGATTTTTGTGGCCCAGCACGAGGCTGACAGACTGCAGGCACAGACACAGCAGCTCTGGGGGTTGCTCTGAGCCCCAGAAATCCCAGCTGAGCACGAAGCTGATGAAAGAAAACCATCTCTGCTGTTTCAGATGCTCTGGTGCTCTAAGTGATCTCATTAAAATGTTGTTTTAGAGATGCCAGCCCCTGCACTGACGAGGGGATGGAGCTCCCAAATTCCCTCCTGCTGACACATCCAGAGGGAAGTGGGAATTCCTTCAATTCCTGCAGCAAAATTCACCTTTTGGTGCCTCTCCAGCAGCTCTCAGGAATCACCCACAGACACAAATCAACACTTAGCAGGATGGACAGACAGCTTCTTAGTCATATTGATATTTCAGCCTTATTTTGTTGTGATATTATTTGAGATTTCAAAGGCTCAAAAGCACAAACTGTGAAAATAAATTTTTTTCACTCTTTCAGGAAGTGAAAAAACCAGCCTGAGATGATTTATGACAACATCAGCAGTGAGGAAGCAGCAAAGCAACGAGCCAAAAGGAAAAATTCAAAAATTAAGCCCAGACAGCATGTAGATAAAGAGGCAAATGAAACTGTCCTAAAGGAAAACAGATCTCAGGGGAACAGGAGGTCACTCATTCCACATTCAGCAGATGTTCTCAGCCTTCAGATTTACAGCTGCAAGACAAAATACCTCTGATGCTGAGAGCACCAAGAAATATGGTGCTGAGGAGAGAAATGAGATGTAAAAAGCAGCCCAAGAGGCAAAAAAAACCCCCAAATGGATTCAGGTGCCTCCTTTTCCAGCAGCAATTTCACCAATCCTGGAGGAAATGTCCAGCCAAAAGCCCTGCACTGGCTGAAGCTGCTCCAGAGCCAGACTGAGCCCATAAGCAGCCAGGAATGCAAAGTTTATAGTAAAGAAAACAAAAATGCAAACGTGTGGAGGGAGGGGATGAGCTCAGATGTTGATGTTGGCAGTGCCACCCAGCCCTAATGGGAACAGTTCCCCTCTCAGAGGATGCCATGGGAAAAGTTTGGGGTATTTGTGACCAAAGTTTGGGGTGTTTCTGACCAAAGTTTGGGGTATTTCTGTCCCAAGTTTGGGGTGTTTCTGACCCAAGTGTGGGGTGTTTCTGACTAAAGTTTGGGCTGTTTCTGACCAAAGTTTGGGTGTTTCTCACCCAAGTTTGGGGTATTTCTGACCAAAATTTGAGGTGTTTCTAACCAAAGTCTGAGGTATTTCTGACCCAAGTTTGGGGTGTTTCTCACCCAAGATTGGGGTGTTTCTCACCCAAGTTTGGGGTATTTCTGTCCCAAGTTTGAGATATTTCTGACCCAAGTTTGGGATATTTCTGACCCAAGTTTGGGGTGCTTCTGACCAAAGTGCTGCTGGCCTCAATATCTGCAGATTTGAGTGAGGAGCAGAAGTGGATTGTGACAGAAATGTAATTTCTGCATTAAAAGCCCCCTGATGCCACAACTAATTGTCACTGCTGCTTTTCAGCATTCAAGGCTGTGCTGCCCCAAAATGACTCCAGGGCTTTAGGAGAATTTGCTGCAGCACATCAATGTCATTCATCACCACACCCAGAGTGTGCTACCTGTGAAATGGGATTATTCACTCACCTCAGGACTCACTCATCATCTCTATTTCACACAAATTAGAGCAGTTTGATACTCAATTTTCATTGCAATATATTCATAAAATCAGCAATGCTCCCATTTAGTTTCCACAATGCTCTACATCTAATCAAAGAGGAGAACTTTATAAATTAATTGGTGTAAAATTCTCTCAGCTCAAACAAAAAGCTGCACATTCCCCCTGCAGCTCCAATTGAATTCTCAGAAATTCACAGGCAGCCCATGAAGATAATCCCAAGGATTAAAGTGTTTATTCATAAATTAAGGTGTAAATAAATGTCACAGACAAGTGGAAGCACAAAATCACTCAGGACTGTCTAAATTCCTTTTTTTACTCAGTGAAACAAGGACAAACATCTTTAATTCAAACCATACCTATCCTCTGTGCTTACCCAAATAAAAACAGAACTTAAGAGACTTCATCCTCCTCCCTGTGCTGCTTTCAGTGCTAATGTTTATTTGGTTTAGTCTCCTGAGCCATAACAATAAATCAAGAATGAAGAATAAATAAAGCCACACTGAAGAACCCCAAAAAGTCCTGAAGGAACTGAGAAATTCTCTCAGCATTTGGTCAACAAACCTCAGCATCAAAGAACAAGCTGTGGGTTAAAAGCTATTGTTCATTGGAATAATAAGCTAAGAATTAGATTTTTAAATAATCAGTGAAGTGCAGCAATCAAGGAAATAGGGGCTCTGATCATTTCCAAAGCAATCAAGCACATAATTTACCTCCAGTGGGGGAGGGAGATGTTTGATGAGAAAATCACTGTGATTTCCTCCTTTGAGCAGTGATTTCAAACTGCTCAGCACCACATCAATAGGAAAAAACACATTAAAAAAAGAAATAAAGTAAAAGAATGAATGATTGAATTAATGTCCCTCAGAGATAATTAACCAAAGGCAAGGCAAAACACACGGTTGAGAAAATAAACTGTTTAAACCCCCTTAAGATCTTTCATTTTCCAAAATATTTTCCACTATAAAAGACAATGTGCCAGCCTGTAAGTATGAAATTCTCCAAGGTAGAAATACATTTTTAAAAAGCACAAAATCAAAATCTGCTTTTCCATTCCGAGAGAATTTTATTTTATATATTTATATATAATGATATATTTAATATATTTCTTTAAAGATATAAAAATATATATTTAAATAAATATTTAATATATTATAGTTAATATTTTATATTTTAAAATCTATTATATAAATATATAAATATTTATATAAAATAGTTTATATTTCATATATATCTTTAAATATATATAAATATATATTTAAATATATATTTAATCTATTATAGTTAATATTTTATATTTTAAAATATATTATATAAATATTTAAATAAAATAGTTTATATTTAATCTATTTCTTTAAATATATATAATATCTATTATATCTATTATATCTATTATATATTAATATATTATATATATTATATTATACATACAATAATATATAATATATATTTCAACATATACTTATATAGAATATTTTATATTTAATATATTTCTTTAAATACATTATATCTATTATATATTATATATAATAGATATATTAATATATTATATATATTATATTATACACATAATAATATATAATATACATTATTATATATAAATAGAATAAATATTAAATATAAAAAAATATATATACTTAAATATATATATATTTATATTATTTTTGTATAATATTTTCTGTGTAGGCAGGATAACAATCAAAGTAGGACAGAGGGGAAGAGACAGCCAAAGCCATGCAGTGACCTGAGAGCCCCAAAAGGTGACTGCATTTAAAGAAGGGAAGAAAAGGCTGCAGATGGCAATTAAATAAATCTTTCTGAGCACATGAAGCCAACAAAGGTGTGAGAAAGGCTCCAATTGTGGTTTCTGACTGAATAAAGCTCCTGCTTGGGCTGCTGGTGGACACTGATCTCCTCTGAGAGGCTTCCAGCATTTCCATCTCTGCCCCTGGGTGACACAAGGAAAATGCTCCTATGGTCCCTCTTTAATTCTTCCCCTTTTCTTTACAGTAAATCTGATCCTGTTCCTCCTCAGCTTGGTTCCAGGGCAAGATTGCAAACAGATGTTCTTAATGCAAGAGATCTTTATTGAAATAATATCCTGAGTGTAACAAGCTCTTTATTACCACAGGGGTTTGTAGTCCTCAGGAGATGTTTGAGAGAACAGCAGCATTTATTTCTGTTTAGTGACAATTCCTCTGTGCAGCTGAATTATTCTTACACTGACAATGGCTACTTTATACCCACTTCTCATCCTGCATTATTGCTCATTTCTTTTTAGAATTTCGGATTTTAGTGTAACAAAAAACCATTTAAAACAGGGAAGATGTAAAAAAATCAAGTATTCCATCACAGAGCGGCACAGCAAAAATATTAAATATATTCTCATTTAAAATACTTTTATAAGTCACCTTTGATGACTGCAATGGCCATTTTAAATTAAACAAAAGAGAGGTGGAGAATTGGTCATTTTAAATTAAAAAGAGAGAGGTGGAGAATCTGAGAGGGCTCTGAGAGGAAGCTGAGTGGATTTGAAGCAGGGAAGATGTAAAAAAATAAAGTATTTAAAACAAGGAAGATGTAAAAAAATAAAGTATTCCATCACAGAGCTGCACAGCAAAAATATTAATTATATTCTTATTTACAATACTTTTATAAGTCACCTTTAATGACTGCATTGGGCATTTTAAATGAAAAAAAAAAGAGAAGTGGAGAATCTGTCTGAGAGGGCTCTGAGAGGAAGCTGAGTGGATTTGAAGCAGGGAAGATGTAAAAAAATAAAGTATTTTAAACAGGGAAGATGTAAAAAAATAAAGTATTCTACCACAGAGCTGCACAGCAAAAATACTGAATATATTCTTATTTGCAACACTTTAATAAATCACCTTTAATGACTGCATTGGGCATTTTAAATGAAAAGAGAGGTGGAGAATTGGTCTGAGAGGGCTCTGAGAGGAAGCTGAGTGGATTTGAAGCAGGGAAGACGTAAAAAAATAAAGTATTTTAAACAGGGAAGATGTAAAAAAATAAAGTATTCCATCACAGAGCTGCACAGCAAAAAATATAAAATATATTATTATTTAAAATACTTTTATAAGTCACCTTTAATGACTGCAGTGGGCATTTTAAATGAAACAAAGAGAGGTGGAGAACTGGTCTGAGGGGAAGTTGAGTGGATTTGAAGCCGTGGAGGTAAAATGTGCATAAAATGCAGGGATCCATTCAGTCCCTGGCCCATGAGGAAGCAATTACTGAATTATCTCCAAGGTTCTGGCTGCTTGGACAGGCCCAGGCATTGGTACTCACCAGCTGGATCTCCACTGCACTCACAGGCCTGTGGTTGAGCAGCTGCAGCTTTTCTGCCCTGGTAAAAGCACAGGGAAGAAAATTCACATTACCGGGGGGTTTGGGGATGAAAAGCACAATGAGGAAAATGCACATTACTGGGGGTTTGAGGATTGTTGGGAAATTTAGGTGACTAGAGACTGGAAAAATACAAAGCCGTGGCTAATTCCAAGTTTTGCACCTGCTAGATAGCGTGTCCTTGGGCCTAGCTGTAGTAGGATAACAAATAGTGAAAGAGACATGAGAAAAGAGAGATGTAACCCCTAAAGAATGAGGAAGAGTTCATGGTATAGTTTAACCAACAGATTGCTTGGCTTACAGAATATTCATAAGCTTATTATTTGCTGTATAAGTGTTTGATGCTTTCTTTAATAAACTGGACCTGTGATGAACCAGCTGGTGTCCTGGTCCCCTTCCTACGACAGAGGATGAAAAGCACAATGAGGAAAATGCACATTACTGGGGGTTTGAGGGTGAAAAACACAATGAGGAAAATGCATATTATGGGGGTTTGGGGATGAAAAGCACAGTGAGGAAAATGCACATTACTGGGGGTTTGAGGATGAAAAACACAGGGAAGAAAATGCACATTACTGGGGATTTGAGGACGACAAGCACAATGAGGAAAATGCACATTACTGGGGGTTTGAGGATGAAAAGCACAAGGAAGAAAATGCACATTACTGGGGATTTGAGGACGACAAGCACAATGAGGAAAATGCACATTACTGGGGGTTTGAGGATGAAATGCACAGCGAGGAAAATGCACATTACTGGGGGTTTGAGGATGAAATGCACAGCGAGGAAAATGCACATTACTGGGGGTTTGGGGATGAAATGCACAATGAGGAAAATGCACATTATTGGGGGTTTGAGGATGAAATGCACAGCGAGGAAAATGCACATTACTGGGGGTTTGCACAGTGAGGAAAATGCACGTTACTGGGGGTTTGAGGGTGCCCTCAGTGGTGCAGTGATGCAAACACACTGCTGATAACTCAGGGATGAAATGTCACTGCCAGGAATGGTCCTGGCTGGCTCTGCAGAGTGGTAGAAGTGCCATAATTTGGATATTTGAATGATTTGGGGATTTTCCTGTGCTCAGCCACGCTGCTGTTGGCCCAAGGTGGCAAGCAGAGACCCTGAGATCACTACTGTGCAAGCATTAATTATTAATTAACTGCTGCTTTGTTAAAGTCTGCAGAAATGTTAAACAACTCAGCAGACACCCAAAACTTCTGCCATGAACACACAACCACAAGAACAATTTTCATACCTAAGGAGTTCCAGTCCCATCAAACAGGAGCAATTTGTTTTTTTCTTTTAGCCCACTGCAAATACAAAGTTCCAGCAGGGAACTACAATTTGCAAAAAACGAAATCTTGGCATTTATTACCTTCTCCAAGGTAGAAATACATTTTTAAAAAGCACAAAATTAAAATCTGCTTTTCCATTCAGAGAGAAAAATGTGGAGAAATTTGTTCCTTAAAAAAAGATGTTTCATCTTCAGCATTAAATAAAGATGAACCATTCTCATGGTGAGCTGAACATCCCTGACTTTTTATTATAAGGCATTTTAAAGCATATTTAAATGGATTTTGGAGGGTTTAAAGCATATTTTAACTGATTCTGGAGAGTTTAAATAAAGCATATTTAAACTGATTCTGAAGGGTTTAAATAAAACATATTTAAACTGATTCTGGATGGTTTAAAGCATATTTAATCTGGTTCTGGAGAGTTTAAAGGATAATTAATCTGATTCTGGATGGTTTAAAGCATATTTAATCTGGTTCTGGAGTGTTTAAAGCATATTTAATCTGGTTCTGGAGAGTTTAAAGCATATTTAATCTGATTCTGGATGGTTTAAAGCATATTTACACTGATTCTGGATGGTTTAAAGCATATTTAGTCTGGTTCTGGAGGGTTTTCCCCAGAGGGATTTTAGAAGGAAACCTCACAGCTTTTAAGAGAACACAGATCACTCCATGTTTGCAACCACCAATTTCTGTGTGTCTGGAGATACCTCAGAGATATAATTTCATTTCAAAAGGCCTCTGCCACTGGCTGCTGGATCATGCAGCTAAAATTTCCATTTTCATCATCACTTTCAGCTTCAGAAGAAAAAGCTTGTGAATTTTCCATCCAGCATTTGTGACATATTAACAAACCCTAACAGAAAGATCCAGGAAAACCTATTATTTATTTATTTATTATTAATTTGCTTTGCTTTTGGAGAAATAAAATATGTTTCCACTGGTGATGGGAAGCAGGGAATCCACCTCCTTTGTTTTCCCATGGTAATTTGGTGTTTCCAACACGAGGCCATGGAGAGCAAGGCTGGATTTTGCTCTGAACTCAGAGCACTTTCCAGGCAGACAGATGAGGTGTTTACAACTGCTGCCATCTACCAGAGTCATAAAAATCAGGAATAAAACCCAATAATGGCAGGAGAGGAGCACTCAAATCCTTGACATGGAAAGCAGGTGATTTAAGGAATCAATGAGAGATAAAACTCACTTGTGTAAAAGCAAAGCTGAAGGCAGCACTGCCATGCAGAGCTGGGGAAAAAATATTAAATAATAATTTGATTCTATAAAAATCTGGCCAATTCAGCTGGAGTTTTGGAAGATTTTTCCTCCAGAGCAGGGAATTCCCTGCTTTGGTACCTGATGGAGGCAGAGTTGGTGCTTTCAGTGCTCTTTGCTTTGCTCTCTGGCCAAGCAAATGTTGGTGCTTAATTTCCAGAGGTTTCCAACTCCTCCCTGTAAAAACCTCCCCCCCCCCCACCTCCTCCTCCTCCTCCTCCTCCTCCTCCCCCAGCCCTACTCACAAGGACAGCCTGTGATGAATTAATATTTTACCCAAGTTTCTCTCACATGACACTTCAGAGCCTTCTCAAACAACTCTTTCTTCTCTTCTGCAGCAAAACACATCCCAATCCCCCAGCTCCACGCAAAGCACATTATCTGACTTTTATTAAATCAATTTCCTCATCCTCTTCTTTTCAAAGTAATATCCTTGAAATATAAACCCCAGAGCCAAATAAAGAGGATCAAATGGCAAAAGCCATTTTATGGCTGAGCTGAAGAATGCAAACCTGATTTATCCAGAGCTCTTTTCAAGCAGGTGGGGCTGTGTTTATCACAGGAAGATTACTGGCACAGCAGCAGCAAGCAGAAATAAATTAACACCAATTACACATCGTGACTAAAACAATCAATTAGTGCAACTGCTGGTGTTTCCTGAAGAAATAGAGGGCACAACAAAAAAAAGGTCACCTCTCCAAGAGATTTTGCTTATAAGTACTCCAACTCATTAGGGATAGACAGAAATTTTACACTCAGGCCAAACAGATCCTAAAAGCATCATTTCAGGGGATTTGCAGTTTTTGTAAATGTGTACAGAAGAATGAGAGAGAACTGGCAGTGATTAACACATTCAGATGTGGCAGCTGAAGGATTTCATGGCTGGTTTTGATCAGCAAAGCTCCCTACTGGAAAATGATGCAGAACAACACAAAGGAACAAGCAGCAGGGCGCAAAAAAAAGCCCCAAAAGCTGCATAAATGCCATATTTCATCTGGAACTGCTTGTGCAGCACAGGCACTAATTAACACCCCGACACAAGGATCTTTAGGCATGCTAATGTGTAATTATGAGGGAAGCAATGAAACAAACACTCCCAAAATGTCTCTAAAATGCATTTGATAGGAAACTGGATTGCTCAGCCCTCAGGAGAAGGCAGAGGTTTGAGTGGGAGCTCAGTACCCACTGCACCTTTTTAATATTGAGCCAAAAAAATTTACTGCAGGGACCAGGTTCTGGGTCTGATCCCAAAAACTGACTGCTGGGACCAGGCTCTCTGTGTACCTGCAATTTCCTGATCCCAAAATCTGACTGCAGGGATCAGGCTCTGGGTCTGGTCCCAAAATCTGACTGCCGGGGTCAGGCTGTGTACCTGGAATTTCCTGATCCCAAAATCTGACTGCTGGGACTGGGCTCTGGGTCTGATCCCAAAATCTGACTGCTGGGATCAGGTTCTGGGTCTGATCCCAAAAAACTGACTGCTGGGACCAGGCTCTCTGTGTACCTGGAATTTCCTGACAGCAGACACACAAATGAAAACCTGAATAACCACAATTTCATCAGAGATTAGCTTTAAGTAAGGCAACCATGCATTAGGATCAGCCCTCATTGCAGTGTTTGGCTTGGGCACAGAGCTAAGCTTGAATTTAGTTCATGCTCCATTAAATCTAAAAAGTAAAATTAACTTTTTTCAGCTCCCATGAATTGATCTTTACACTTCCTACAGCACTCAGGGCACGCTGGTGCTTGTTAAATCAAAGGGGAAATGTTCCACTCATCCAAACAGAAGGTGAAGAACATTTTCAGCCTCATTGCCCCCAAATTTCAGCATCTGCATTTTCCCTGCCCTGCCTGGATTTTAGCACCAGTTTGGAACACGAAAGCTGCTCACTCAAGAGGAGAATCCATACAAAAGATGAGTGACAGAGAAAGCAATTTTCTCACATAAAAGTAAGATCCCACTAATCAGAGTTAATGGGCCGTGCTGCAGACTTGTACAGGACCTGCCTGCTGAGAAATCCCAACATGGCAATTCCTGCTGTGAAACCCCACCATGGCAATTCCTGTGAAGAAATCCCAATGGGGCAATCCCTGCTGAGAGATCCCAATAGGGCAATCCCTGCTGAGAGATCCCAATAGGGCAATTCCTGCTGAGAAATCCCAATAGGGCAATTCCTACTGAGAGATCCCAATATGGCAATTCCTGCTGAGAAATCCCAACATGGCAATCCCTGCTGAGAAATCCCAACATGGCAATTCCTGCTGAGAAATCCCAATGGGGCAATTCCTGCTGAGAAATCCCAACATGGCAATCCCTGCTGAGAAATCCCACCATGGCAATCCCTGCTGAGAGATCCCAATGGGGCAATTCCTGCTGAGAAATCCCAATGGGGCAATTCCTGCTGAGAAATCCCAATGGCAATTCCTGCTGAGA